GTCTTAATTGTTCGTCCGTTCGTGAAATATTTTAATAATTTTAATTAATAGTTTTAGACCTACTTTTGTTTATGTGTTTTGACATCAACTTTTTGTTGCAACTATTGTTTTTTATATTTTTTTATGTATTTTAAAAAATACTCGCATACTTGTTTTTACACCGACCCAGGGATAATTCTCTTAGCTTAGTCTTAAATAGATGAGTAATTACGGGTGAGTTCTTGATATTTGACAACTTTCATATTAAAATGTTTAAACCCACTTATTAGTTATGAGCTCATTCGTTTTTCCTCTCTATTTTAGACCTTACCTGATGATGAGGATCTGATCCTCGAAACCGGTCGTAATAAAATACTCTTGTGAGATCCTAAGAACCACCCTCGTTTGATTTACCTTTTTGAACTTATAACTCACACATGGCTACCACCTTCAACTTTAATAAAATGTGGTGAATTGACTCATCTTCATTTTTATTGCAAGTCTTATTACATAATCCGGTGTATTGATTGCACGGATAAAATTCTTTTTAAAAAGTTGGTCTGTACACGCTCAAGTATGTCACTGTATCTTAAACCCCAAACAGGAATGCAGTTTGTCATTGTGCTTATGACCAAGGACTCAAATAATTTAATTCTTGGGTACCAAGTATCTACTTTGGCTTTTGCCATTATTGGAATGATTGCACCACTTGCTTGCTTAGATTTGTTAGTAGTTACATTTGCCATCTCACAAAATAAAGAAGAGGATGTTAGGGTAACGCCTAAGTAAATATAATTATTGGTTAATGCTATAGTTTTATTCTCTAGGTGGAAATGAGAATCCAAAGATCTAAAACCACCTTTAGAAAATTGCATAATTTTTGTTTTGTCAATGTTAATTGTTAATTGTTAAATGGTTTATTAAGGTGTATTCTTCCAATAATTTTAATTTTCTGCCAACATCCACCTCTGAATCTGCGAGTATAACAAGGTCGTCAGCGTATAACAAGAGAGTAACATCATTTTTGTTGTCAATATTAACACCTTTAGCGCCTCTAGTTGCAAAGAAGTTATCAATGTTTGAAATAAATAAAGCAAAAAGTAGAGGAATAAGTGATATGTCTTGTAAAACACCAGATGTGAGCTCAAAGGATTTAGAAAATCCATCAAAACATTTAATTCGGAATTCTGCATTCTCATACATTTTAAGTATTACAGTTATAATTCTAGAACTAACACCCAAATTAAACAGCTTGAGCCAGAGCAAGGAGTGATTGACGGAATCAAAAGCACGTTTGAAATCAACAAATATTGCAAATATTTTCCGCTTTTTTAATCTAATATGCTGTTGAATTCATAGAAATAGTATAGAAAGCCGATTCCATATATCAAAAATGAAACCATAAGGAGAAAATAGTGTGTCGGAGCTCATGCGTATAACGGTGCTGGCGCGAACAGGACCGGTGCAAGTTTTTTATTGATCGAACAAATAGTTCACACATTTCAATCATACATTTTTAGAGATGATTCTATACAAAAAACGATTAAAAAAATTTCAAGTTAAGGTAAATATGGTTCTGACAGTCCTTATTAAGAAAGATATGGCATAAAATATGAATTAGTTAATTTTCGGCAATCATTAGTACAGTAGTCATGAGATTTTGCTTGTGATTTTAAAAATACTTTCCAGAAAAACCACGTGCTCCGGTTTTGACTACGTTTATTATTAAACAGCGAAATTATATACAAAAACTTTAATCCACAATCTAAATTAGGTACTATCACAAGAAAATCACTGTTACAATAATTAATTACTTAACCAAAAACTAAAATACTTTTTAGGTACCTACGTAACCAGAAAGGAGCTGGACCATTTATCCTAATATTGATTTTCTCTCTCCCTACGGTAAAACTTAAAACAATAACAAATTGCCTATCTACTAGGGTCGGTAACTAAACGAATATACATAATGGGCGGATTTTGTTTATACTTAACATTACACTCGCGCATTTAAATATAACTATGCATATAAATATTTACAAACAAAGATACTTTTCCAAACAGGCAATCATTAGTACTGTAGTCACGAGGTTTTGCTTGTGATTTGACATCTTATTTGATAATATCATTTGCAACAACTAAATTTAATCTGGGGAGTGCAAAATAGGGCCCAGGAATATTATGTTCGATATTTTTTTACATTTTGTCAGCCGAGACTATGAGTCGTTAGACAGAAAACCTTTCATGTTACCATTTTCAATATAAATTAAAAAATTAAAAAATACTACATTTACTTGGTACATATTTTATTTTAATTTTGAACCCTTTTAAAAAGGTCTTTCGGTTCCATAATAAAAATTAGTTGCTGCTTACTAGAAACATTCTATATAGCCTAAACCAATTTATAGTTTGTTTTCGATCAATTTAATACAAAGATTTAAAGTTTTTAGTCGATGATAACATTCCACACCAGCACATTGCAAACGTATTTTATAAATAATAGGAATAAACTTGTAAATCATTAATTTGGTAGTTATCTCACTCATATGATTTTTTTGTTTATATGACTATTTCGATTTCTAAATATATTACAATACGAAGCGTTTTGTATCTACCACTTTTTTAATGAACGATGAATGTTGGCAGGCGTGTACCTTTTTCGGAACAAGAGGCGTTTTAACGAAGGAAATGATTTTCGAACTATCTAGTTAGTTTTCGGAAAAATAGAAAACGTTTGAAGAAAGTTGTCAATAACAGTTTGTCGTTCATGTATTTCATTTTGATCAGCTTTCATACTAAATTGCGTAGAATATTTTTCCGATTCAAAATCGAGATTCTCGATATTTCCACAGTTTATTTATAATACCTTCTAAACTGGATTTATCTATCATTTTATATACTTTATAATATATGCCCTACTTTTCACTTTATTAACAATTTTTTTTTAACATACTTCAAAATGGTAGGATATTCTCAATTCGTTGAAATATTTTTTTAAGTACGTTGAGCGATAATTCTTTACCACGTTGCCCGATTTCTAGGATTCTTTTTGTTAGAAAAGGAAACAGTTTTATATACATTAAGTCAAGATCTGAAGATGGGATCCATAAGAAAATCATTAACATCTTTATTTTTAAAGTAGGTTTTTTTTTAAATTTCTTTAAACCTTACTGGTTCGAACGCGGTAAAGAATGAAGAAATGTAAATAATTGTTGTGCCAGCCAAAAAGCGAAGAGGAAGTACCGATTAAAATATCGAGTGACAGAAGAGTTCCTAAGATTGTTGAGATCGGGTTTATGTTTTAAAATGCCTTAAAACCGATATCGATAATGTCTCCCCGTCGCTGGGCAGCCTGTATATAAATATACAGCTCTCTATTTACATAATTATAATTCTTAGGTAGGTTTAGATTTGCAGACATAAATCTTGTAATAAATATAACAGCTGCCTAATACATTGATTACATTTTCATTAGCCAATGTAAAAATGTCTTTTATTGTACCTAGGATTTGACTAAACACTACACAAAACTAAAAATAAAATGCCACTTTCATCATGTAATTAATGCCGCGTTTGAGAATCCACATCGGATGCATTTTTTACATCTCTAGCGTTTTTTATCCACATCGGACACATCTGTCCCATTACATTTACGTATACTGAATCACGTGATCAAAGATTTACTACTACTACATCTCAGATGCATCCGATGTGGATTCTCAAACGCGGCATAAATAATAAACTACAAACGGTCCTGTAAGGGCAGCGTCATATATCCTTGAAACACCGGATTTTAGTGCTATTGCCAGGTCAATATTGAATTTGTAGGTGAATCGCTTATTGAACATTAAAAATACGGTATTAATGACATTAATACGGTATTTGTATATATTTTTGGGAATGTAATTACACATAAATATTATTAGTTGATTATTTAAATGTTTATAAGTTATTTTGTGGCGATATTTCGTAGATATAAACTGTTTAAATCATATAATTTAAAAATTAATTAATTTAAAATTATTTTCTGTTAGGTATGTTTAATATATTTGGCAACACTACAGGGACAAGTCATGCATATTGCGCAAGCTTCTAGACACACTATATTGCGATGTCAGGCGCAGAGACGCGTTTTTATGCACAGTAGGTTTCAATTTCTGCTTAAATGTTATGTTTATATTGGTCTTCTATATTATTTCTATGGTTGAATTACAGAGGTTAACGTATACACATTATCAATGCAACCATACCCCGGTCGGAAACCGGCTTGTGATTCCGGCAGAATATTGTTAGTTTCAGACCAAGTTATCAACCTGTTCAGAATAATATGCGTGAAGATTTTAGCAGCACAGTTTATTAACTAATATAAAACATTAAAACAAAATGAACAATAAAACATAAAGGTGCGTGTAAATAAAACGAGTCGCGACTGAACCGCTCCAAAAACCAGCCAGTGTTGTGTCCATATAAATCTAACGAAATAAGCTCGTTGTTGGCGCGACTTGTCATGTTTATACAACC